AGCATCAAACAACCCACAGGAAGATGAATTCTAGAGCGCAGGAGCCAGAGGGACCTGGAGGGACCTCCGACATCAGGGGCTCTCAGCTAGGCAGTGGACACCCCCCCACACACATACACACACACATATACACATATACACACACACATATACACATATACACACACATACACACATGTACACACATACACACATATACACACATACACATATACACACATATACACATGTACACACATACACACATACACATGTACACACATGTACACACATACACACATACACACATATACACACATGCACACATATACACACATACACATACACACATACACACACAGGGGACCATGTCTGGTGACTTTGTGGTTGTCACAGTGTGGACACTTGGCGAGAAGGGGAGGTTTGTTACTGGCATATGGTAGTGGCAGCCCAGCACCCCCACCGCGACAGAATGCTCCCCCCAAGTTCACTAGCGCTGAGCTGGAGAAATGCTGGTTTGAATTCCTGGGTGACTTCAAGTACAAAGACACTGAGGCTCGCCCAGCTGAAAGGGCTCAGTGATGAGCATCCACCTAGGAGCCAGGTGGTCAGGGTTCGATTCCTGGTCAGGACACAGGCCTGGTTTGTGGGCACCACCCCCAGTGGGCGGGGGGGTTGTGTGTGCAGGAACAAGCCGATCCACGATTCTCTCTCATCATGGATGTTTTTCTCTCTCTCCCTCTCCTTTCTCCTCTAAAATCAATAAAAATTTCTTTTCTTTAAAAAAAAAAAAACTGATATGTTCTCCCATACAGAGGGCTTTCTTGTTGTTTTGTTGATGGTTTCCTTTGCTGTAAAAAAGCTTTTTATTTTGATGTAGTCCCATTTGTTTATTTTCTCTTTAGCTTCCATTGCCCTAGGGGCAGTATCAGTGAAGAAGTTCTTTTGGCATATGTCTGAGATTTTGCTGCCTGTGGATGCCTCTAGTATTTTTATGGTTTCCCGTCTTATGTTTAAGGCCTGCCTGCATCCATTTTGAGTTTATTTTTGTGTATGGTGTAAGTTGGTGATCTAGTTTCATTCTTTTACATATATCTGTCCAATTTTCCCAATACCATTTATTGAAGAAACTGTCTTGACTCCATTGTATGTTCGTGCCTCCTTTGTCAAATATTAACTGAGCATTAGTGATTTGGGTTGATATCTGGGTTCTCAATTCTATTCCATTGCTGTTTTGAGAACACTGGCTTTGTAATACACTGGCTTTGAAATCTGGTATTGAGATCCCTCCTACTTTACTCTTCTTTCTCAGGATTGCTGTGGCTATTCGGGGTCTTTTGTTGTTCCAAATGAACTTTTGAAGAGTTTTTTCTAGGTCAGTGAAATATGACGTTGGTATTTTAATTGGGAGTGCATTGAACCTATAGATTGCTTTGGGAAGTATGGACATTTTGATGATGAACAGATTTGCAAATGTTATCACTGATAAATGTTTAATCTCCAACATCTTCAGACAGCTTATACAACTTAATAAAAGGAAGATAAATGACCCAATTAAAAAATGGGCAATGGATCTGAATAGAATCTTCTCAAAAGAAGACAGAAGGAAGGCTAAGAGGCACATGAAAACATGCTCAAAGTCACTAATTATCCGAGAAATGCAAATCAAAACAACAATGCAGTATCATCTCACACCTGTCAGAATGGCCAACATCAACAAATCAACAAACGACAAGTGTTGGCGAGGTTGCGGAGAAAAAGGAACCCTCGTGCACTGCTGGTGGGAATGTAGACTGGTGCAACCACTGTGGAGAACAGTATGGAGCTTCCTCAAAAAACTGAAAATGGAACTCCCATTTGACCCAGTAATCCCACTCCTAGGAATATATCCCAAGAAGCTAGAAACATCAATCAGAAAGGATATGTGCATCCCTATGTTCATAGCAGCACAATTTACAATAGCTAGGATTTGGAAACAGCTTAGGTGCCCGTCAGCAGATGATTGGATCCAAAAACTATGGTACATTTACACAATGGAATATTATGTTGCCATAAAAAAGAAAATATTCTCATCGTTTGCAGCAACCTGGATGAAATTGGAGAACATCATGCTGAGTGAAACAAGCCAGTCAATGAAAGAGAGACACCACATGACCTCGCTTATTTATGGATGATAAAGAACATTATAAACTGAAGAACCAAAAGATAGATATAGAGACAGTAAAGCAACAAGCAGACTGTCAAATTACAGCAGGGAGGTTGGGGAGATCAGGGGGAGATAAGAGATCAACCGAAGGACTTGTATACATGCATACAAGTACAACCAATGGACACAAAACTCTGGGGAGGGAGGGTATGTACGGGAGGGGGGGCATTGGTATATGTACAAAAATAATAATTTAATAAAAAATATTAAAAAATAATAATAAAAAATAAATAAAATTAAAAAACTGAGACCAAAGACACAAAGTGACGTCCAAGGTCACACAGCCTCAAAGCCAGAAGTGGAACCCAGAACTCAGCCGCACCCCTCTGTCCTCAGCGCTGCTGGGCCCGGCTGGGCCCGGCGGGGCAGGAGTGAGGGTGGGATGAAGCCACACAGAGCCACATGAGGAGCGTGGCAATAGGGAAGCCAGCAGCGCACCCAGCATGTGCTCTGGGGGGAGGGGGAGCCCCTGGATCCCCAGCTCCCCCGCATCGCTGTGCGGGCCAGTAGCTGCTGGTGGGTCCTCTGCTCCCTGTGTCCCAGCTCCCAGAGGGAGGGCTGGGCCTCCGGGGAAGCAGGCCCCAGCTCCGCCTAAGGACGCCCACACCACACCTGGCCGGCCCCGGGCCTCGGGGTGACTTTGAACCAGAGGAAGGAATCTGAACCCGGGTCCGCCCACTTCAGAGTCCACACCCCCCTCCCCACCCCCTCGGAACAGCCACCTGCCCCTTCCACCCGCCGCTGAGTCACCATGGCCCCTCTCTGCGAGCTAATTGCTCAGCCAGGGAACCCCAAAGAACGCTGGGAACACTTGGGTTTGGGTGCTCCTCTCTACCCACCCCCTCCCAAAGACCATTTTGTTCTTAAGAGATGTGTTCTTAAAGGAGCCGATCCCCTCTCTCTTATCCTCACATGCTTCCCTTACAGGCTGCATTGCATAATTGGATTGCATTGGATTGTGGTTTGATTGGATGCTGCTATTTTTAAATCTACTCACAACACCTGGGGGGGGGGGGAGATACATTTATGAGCTATCCCCTCGAAATGCCGGCGCCTTGCAAAACAATGCAAAACGCTTTGGATTGCACATCCAGCTCTTTAAATCGCTGACGAAGGACTTTCCCTTCCCTCCGAGCAAAGCAGCTTTTGCTTTAAAGAAATCAGGGTCGGCGCTGAGGAAGAGGCCGGCAGGAGAAGCGGTAAATGGGCCATTATTCGCCGCACAATGACAGCTGCGGCCAGCGGGCTGTCAGGGCCAGGCCCGCCCCCTCTATTCTGCATCCATCCCGCCCCTCCCGCCGGGGCCAGAGGCCAGGTCTTCCCGGCCGGCCCCCACCCACTTTCGGGGGGGGGGGCGGCATGCAAAGATCCAGGTCACGCGTGACGGGCAACGGCCCCTCTCCCGCCCCCCCACACCCCTCGCGCCGGGGTGCATGCAAAAGCGCTGCGGCCCGAGACCCCGCTTCGGCTTTCTGGGGCGCTGCCGGCCGCCGGGGTCCGGGGACGCGCCCCTTACCTGCAGAGCCGCCCGCGCCGCCCGGCCACCCACCTGCACAGCATCCCGCACCCGAGCATCCTTTCTTCCAGCGGCCGCGAGCGCGGTGACGTCACCAGGCGGGGCCGCGCCCCACGTGACCCCCTCGGGCCGGAGCCTGGAGCGGTGCTGGCGGGGGGCGGGGCGAGACCCTGACAGGCCCGGGAGGAGGGAGCCAGTGCCCAGGGGCTCCCCGCCAGCCCTGGGAGCGGGCACCGAGGGGCGCCAAGGGATCGCGGGCTCCCTCACCGATAGGATTGCGGGAGAGCCGCCAGGAGGGGGTCAGCAGCGAGGGGAAACCATTGTGTTTTAGTCTTCAGCAAACGAGCAGTAAGCAGCTTGTCTGCAAACCGAGCCGAGTGCATGGACACCCTTGGTAGGGAGGGTCAATGTTGCCAATCATGTGTGAAACATGATCGCAAAGCCATTCGTGTGAAGCACGTGCATTGGGGAACGTTATGCTAATCGCGCCGATGAATAATGCTTTCGGTCACTCTCAACAGCGACTTTCCAATGTCAACTTGGTTTGCCAAAAACAAAGGGAGTGACAGCATAGTGGTACCGCACACTTGAGCATCTGATTAGTTCAAATCAGGATCAGGCCCTGTGGCTTGCTCATGGTTGTACACATGTATGTCTGTTTTCTGAAATCTTCTGGCCGGGAACCTGATCTGCCTGGCAGGACGGAGTTAATTCCCAGGCGCTATTATTTCACGTTTTCTCACTTTTCTCACACTCAGCAGAAGTGAGTCATTTGACTGTCCCAGAGAGCATGCACCATGTCAACATCCCGTGCACAACTGACAGCAGCCCTGCCTAGAAAGCCCCAGACAGCTCCAACCGGGGTCATTTGGGAGATTTGAAAACTCAGGCAGCGAACATAGCAACGTGCCTTGCCAACCCGCAGCAGCGGCCTGAGCTGGGCAGGACCAAGGCGGGAGCCACGTGTGCCAGTCTCACAGGCTGGTGCGCTCCACTGGAGTCTGAATCACCTTCTCACTCCAGGCCCCCGCCCTGAGGGGGGAACAGACCGTCTCACCAGCAGGCCCGGCTGGCTGCTGGCCCTCAGTCCGCAGCTTTCCTGTTTCTAGATCGCACCCCATTGACCACTGTCCCCGCCAGGGGGGCCACATCGCTGCTTGGGGCCAGCCCCCCTGTGAGGCTAACAGGCCCTCCCTGGCTGCCGCTTCTTTCAGCACCAGACGTGACAAGTCAGCGAAGTGGCGTGTGGTTTCTAGGTCACGGCCTCCTGTTTGTTCGTGTGGGTGACAGGCAGCTTACCTGGGGCTTCCGGTTCCTGAGATCAGAGTTCAGACGCCACGGAAACCTGCTCTTGTGGGGCCGGGCCTGAGGGAGACTCGCTCTCCTGCCAGGGGTGACTGTCAATTTCAGCCCCGCACTCCCAGGCCCGGCCACCCCGCCCCCCGCAGCCTGGGCGTCACGTGCTCGGCCCAGCCACTCAGCTCAGCCCTGCCCAGCCGGCGCTGGCACCTCTTGCCCCGGGAGGCCGGGCAGGCAATCTCCTTCGCCTACACCGGTGCTTCATGCCCTGAGAGAACCCGAGTCCCCAGCCAGGACGCCCTGCAACCGGGGCTCCCAGAACCGATGGGGCGCGGGGTCCCTGTCAAATGCCCTCCTGCGGTCTGAGGGGCCGGCTCTGTCCCGCTGGGCAGGGGCGTCTGCGGCAGAAGCCCCTCCTGCTCCGGGTGACAGTTTTGCCCTGAGAGAACCCGAGTCCCCAGCCAGGACGCCCTGCAACCGGGGCTCCCAGAACCGATGGGGCGCGGGGTCCCTGTCAAATGCCCTCCTGCGGTCTGAGGGGCCGGCTCTGTCCCGCTGGGCAGGGGCGTCTGCGGCAGAAGCCCCTCCTGCTCCGGGTGACAGTTTTGCCCTCAAGTTGGTTTCGCCTTCTGTTTGCAAGGTGATTGCTCAAGTGTGAAAGGCATCGCGCAAACAGGCGCCTCTTGGGGGCGCTGGGCATTCTGGCAAAGGTTGTTTTTAATTTAAAAAAAAAAAAAAAAAAAAAAGATGCCTCCCAGGAGAATGTAAATTGAACAATCTTCCTGGCGGGCCGTTTAGCAATTTTCACCAAGAGCCGGGCAGGACCAAGTGGTGTGTGTGCACCTGTGTGCACTGCTGAACACCACTGCGGCAGCTGGCGGGTCATTTGCTCCAGGAATGCGACCTGGGGGGGGGGGGGGGGGGAGAATCACCTGGGAGAGTTCGCTGCGCTATTATTTATGATCTCCAAGCGCCGGAAGCAAGTTAATCTCCAAAAACAGAGGGGGTGGAATGATGAGACCTCTGCTCCGTGGACGACGCAGAATTAACATGGCAGGACACAGACCCTGCGTGCACATCTGCATAAGCCCCGGACCCAGGCATGCGGAGGTGAGGGCTTGGGAGGGGGGGAGGCTGGATGGGGGCCCATGGGGGGGGGGGGGACATGTAATATTTTCAACAATAAAGAATTAAAAAAAAAAAACTAGCTGGTTTGGCTCAGTGGATAGAGCATCAGCCTGTGGACTGAAGGGTCCTGGGTTCCATTCCGGCCTGGGTTGGCTCGATCCCCAGTAGGGGACGTGCAGGAGGCAGCCAATCAGTGATTCTCTCTCATCATTGATGTTTCTCTCTCTCTCCCTCTCCCTTCCTCTCTGAAACCAATAAAAATATATTTTTAAAAATAAAAATAAATAAAAATTAACATGGTAGTAGATCCTTTTGACACGGAACTACCTTCGCAATTATTTAATGAAAAAGAGCAAACTCCAAAGGGTGGTGTGGGAATCGAATTCACGGAAGTACCCAGTGTGGTAGCTCCCCTCTTAGTGGGCTGAGGGATGTTTCACATGTTTCTTCTCAGCTTAGCTACATTTTCTAGTTTTCCTGTGATTAATGTGTAAATTAACATGTATTGCTTTTGTAAGAAGAAACAGTTACTGTTGCTTGTTTTATCAAAAGCACCTTAGCAGCCCAGCTGGTGTGGCTCAGTGGTTGAGCATCGACTTAGGAACCAGGAGGTCACGGTTTGATTCCCAGTCAGGGCACAGGCCCGGGTTGAGGGCTCCATCCCCAGTAGGGGGCGTGCAGGAGGCAGCCGACCCATGAGTCTCTGTCATCATTGATGTTTCTATCTCTGTCTCTTCCTCTAAAAATAAAAAAAATAAAAATAATATTTTTTAAAAGGTTGGACTCCATCAGTGTCCCATTAGTCATCTTCTCCTTCATCTTCCTCTCCTTCATCCCCCTCACACCATCTTCATCTTCACCTTCATCCTCATCTCCTTCATCAATATCTTCCCACCTTTCCTCTTCATCACCACCTTTTCCTTCTTCTCCTTCCCCCTCTCCATCACTCATGTCAGGAACCCGGTAGCTGCAATGGATTGGGCCAGGTGTCGTCTCTGATGACTTCTCCCAACCCTGTGGTCGGCAAACTGCGGCTCGCGAGCCACATGCCGCTCTTTGGCCCCTTGAGTGTGGCTCTTCCACAAAATACCACGGCGTGGGCTAATCTATTAAGTGGAGTTAGAAGTTTAAGTTTAGAAAATTTGGCTCTCAAAAGAAATGTCAATTGTTGTCCTGTTGATATTTGGCTCTGTGGACTAAGGAGTTTGCCGACCACTGCCCTAACCCATCTGCCTGGCACCAGAGCTGTCACTGAAGCAGGTAAAGCCGCTGCCTCTGCCTCATGCGGCCTCGGTCAGTCCTTCCCATTCCTCTTGATTCCCGGGACTTAGAAGCCGGATTGCCACTCCCGTTCAGATGCAATTCTCTGGAGAGAACTTTGTTTGAAGTAAGGATTTTCATCGGAATAAAAATCTCTTCTGATCCCTGATTTAATATCTTCAAATTCTGTCACTTGAACTCTTTGTGTGTTTTTTTAACCTGTTTTTATTGATTTCAGAGAGGAAGGGGAGGGAGAGAGGGAGAGAGGGAGAGAAACATCGATGATGAGAGAGAATCATGGACCGGCTGCTTCCTGCACACCCCACACTGGGGATGGAGCCCACAACCCGGGCCTGTGCCCTGACCGGGAATCGGACCCTGACCTCCTGGTTCCTAGGTGGATGCTCAGCCACTGAGCCACACCAGCCGGGCTGTGACTTGAACTCTTGCCAAATAATGCAGTGCCTCTTGCTCCTCCCCGGGCAGGGCAGACACTGTGATGGCTGACTAAGGTTACCCCCCAAGATGGGGATTTGGGGGATCAATTCTGACCTCTTCTGCAGAGGGGGTCGCAGTCTGCTCTGTTCCTGCTCGCCTCCCTGGCCTGTGCCTGGTCCGCTTCCAGCTGTGCTGCCCTCTTTCTCCCTTGGCGGGTACTGGGGGGGGGGGGTCTTCCTGGCTGGGGGGGGTGCAGGGAGCTGTCCGGCTCCTCCCAGGCAGAAGACCGCGCTTGGGGAGTCCACAGGGAGCCACAGGAGCTGCTCTCAGAAAACCCTTGAGGAAACCTGATGCCAGCCGGGCACCGAGTTAATGTTTCATCGTCCGGAGGCCCGGGCTCAGCTTCTCTCCCATTTGCATTCTCGTCCTGCCCGCCCTGTGGCTGGAAGGTCCCTGCTCCCATCTGGCATGAAATGGTTCCTCGGATACTACATCCCACCTGCTTGGTTCCTTCCCGCACACTGGCCTCTGGTCCCTCAGGTTTCTGGTGTTCTCCCTCTGAACCCTTTTCCTCTTAGGGTCTGCTGCAGGGACACTTGACGACGTCTGAGGACCACTCTGGCCGCCGCACTGGGAGGGTCGCGACAGCAGCAGGCAGAGGTGGAGAGAAAGAAAGCCGGGTCTGCAATTACAGATAAAGTGGCATTTGATGCCCAAATGTTTCATTTCCCAGCCATTTTTAAGGGTGCACCCTGTTGGCCAATGTCACCCCAACAAATTTAATTAAAACAACAACAGTGCGCCATTGAATAATGCGCTGGGAGTTGTGTTCCTGCACCTTCTATGCTGTTGCCTGCGGGTCCCTACGCTGCTTCATATCGATGTGTGGACACTGCCCAGGGGATCATTTCTGGGGTGGAGACCCGGTGGCTGGGGCACCGAGGTGGAAAGGAAGTCGTCACAGGCGTGGACACACATTACATTGTCAAAAGCCCTAAACATGCTTTTCAAAGCATCATCCCATATTTTGTTTGAGCTGAGTGGATAGAGTTAATACAGACTACAGTCAGCCCTGGCCAGTGTGCTCAGTGGTTACCACATGGGCACACGGACTGAAGGTGTCAGGTTCGATTCTCAGTCAAGGGCACATAACTGGGTTGCAGGTTCTAGGCCCAGCCCCAAGGTCAGGGAGCATGCGGGAGGCAATCAATCAATGTGTGTCTCACATTGATGTCTCTCTCTGTGTGTGTGTGTGTCTTTCCCCCTCCCACTCTATAAAAATCAACGGGAAAAAATATCCTCTGGTGAGGATTAACAACAACAAAAGACTACACTCACCCACAGCTGTAAGAAAGGCCCAGGTGCACCAGCTCATTTGCACACCATTGTCAGCCGCATAAGCCCTCTCTGCAGGGGCCCGCGGGCATAACCACGGGCTGGTTGGAAGGACTGTTTCCCTTGCCCGACTCTTGCCCAACACAACAGCCTGGTTTGATTTTAAAACTAGAGGCCCGGTGCATGGATTCATGCACAGGTGGGGTCCCTTGGCCTGGGTGGTGATCGGGCTGATTAGGGGCAGATGGGGGCTGGCTGCCCAGAGAGGGACTGCTGGAGGACTCCAGGGCGTGTCCAGTTCCCATTAGCAGGACCAGTTCCCATTAGCAGGACCCCAGCAGCAGGCTAACGTACTGGAGCATCTGCCCCCTGGTGGTCAGTGCACATCATAGCAACCACTCAGTCAGACACTTTGCATATTATACTTTTATTATATCGGACTAGTGGCCCGATGAACAAATGAAGATTCATGCAAGAATGGGCCTTCATTCCCCTGGCTGCCAGCACAACCTTTGCTCTGGCCAGAGCAGCCTTTCTGCCTTCCCACGCTGCCCAGAGGCAAGTGTTCTGCCCCAGCACCTGCCGTTCCTGCATATGCAAATTAGCCCACCATCTTTGTTGGGTTAATTTGCATACTCACCACTGAGCACACTGGCCAGGGCTAACTGTAGCCTGATTGGCTGGTGGGCATCATGAAGATATGGCCAATTAGCATGTTACTCTTTTATTAGATAGATGTGGCATTTTGCTCATTGTGAATTTTTGCACTACATTTGATTTTTATAAATAGTACCCTGATTACTGATGTTTTTGGGGCCCACATATATCTGCACCCAAGGTGCCTTCCCCACCTCCTCCAATCTCCAGCCTGGGTATCTGGTGAACTCTCTATCCATGGTGGGTCTGCCCAAACCTCCTATGTTCTGAGCTCCTGCACATCTGAGCACATCCTCGGAATGAATGAGTGAATGAGTGAATGA